AGTCAGCTACTTACAACGTTTCTAGGAAAAGAAAAAGAGACGGTTTCACTTATAATAGATACCACGGTCAAAGGGTACTTGGGTTTTTGGTTTTCTGCAGGAAGGAAGAACCCCATGGATATGCGGAGGATGGTGAGTCAAAACCCAAGACTGAAGAGTTTCTCACTTAGCACAGTGATCTCTGGCCCCTGAGCTGCCCACACGTGGAGAACACATACACCCCAGAGCAGGACTCACCCCAAAGGAGACTGACCGGCTGAGGCTCGGATCTGGTCCCAGAGACTGGAAGTGCCACTGGGCTCAGGGTTTGCAAGTTACACTTTAAAAATCCACTTGTGCCAGAAGGGGGCACTGTTACCTCTAAAACCCGCCTTCCACTCCAGGCCCTGAGGCTGGTTACCTGAGCTGATAAAATCAAGCAGACCCTGCAGATCCTGCAGGTCCCGTATCAGATTCCACTTTATCAGACTCCAGGCTCCCGGTCTCCCACCCCTGAGGTGTTTACCTCCTAGATCAAAAAAAGAGAAAAGATTCCTTCCCAGATTTTCTCTAAATCACTGCTATTTTTACATCCCCGACTGAAGGAAGGCTGTCACTTAACCAAAAAAAGAAACTTCATATTTTAGAAGCAAAGGAAAAGGAAGAAAAGAAGAAGAAGGTCTTTTTAGAGGTCTGGTCTGGACTGGCTGCATCACCAGCCCACATTCTGTTTTTAATTTGGGCATAAAAGAGAACTTTTACAAGTTTTCTTAAGGAAAGGGAGATTTGCATCTTCCTGATATTCATTTAAAGAGCATTCTCTTCTGAGGGTTCAAAGGTTGCTCTGGCTGGCTTCCTCTTGTAGCCAAAGAGAGCTAAGAGACTAAGAGACCATCCACTTATTACAGTGCTTCTTAAACTGCTGTGGGTCTGAGATGCACGTGCGGAGTTGATAAAATATTCTTCCCTGGATCCCACCGTTGTGCAGAAAGGACCCTCCAGGCTCCTGTTTCCAACAAGCATCGCAGGTAACTCAGGCCTTTCTGTGCAGAACACAGACTGGGTTATCTGCAGCTCACGGCCCTGTGCACACCACCCGCCTGGGCACAGGGCAGAACCACGGTCAGTTCCCTGACTGCTTCCACATCTCTGAATTCTAATCCCAGCCGGCTCAGCCTGACTTCCTAATGTTTTCTGCATCTTCCTGCACTGGCTTCAGCAATGCTCTGTGAAACACAGCCTGACAGAAGTT